AATATAGCATACTTTAAAATTGTATTTTAACAAACACACACACACACACACACACACACACACACACACACATATATATATATATATATATATATATATATATATATATATATATATATATATATATATATATATAAAATATAGGATTGGTATATAAGGAATAAATTCTAATAACCAAAAATGCTATTCTTAAAGAGTGCTCAATACAGAGTAGAGAAAATATAATTTATTTGAAAATGTAACATAAATGTTATAAAAATCACTACAGAAATAGCCATTTTGGTTCAACACTTCTGGTGTCTTATCAAGTGATAATGGTAATGATGGTGTTGAATGTCATATATATATATATATATATATATATATATATATATATATATATATATATAATAACAGGTTAGGTAAGAACGAATAGAGTACAATTCTAACGTTCGTAACAAGTAATTTAAAAGAGGGATCAATACAAAGTAGACCAATATTATGTAAATAAATAGTCCAAATAAATCGTTCACACGCCAGTAATTTACAATCGCCTGATGAGATGCATTGATACGCATCGAAACACGATGACAGTTGTGTAAGGATTTCGACATGTTTTCGAGTAATATCCTTACATACATACATACATACATACATACATACATATATGTATATATATATATATATATATATATATATATATATATATATATATATATATATATATATTTGGTTCGATAGATGTGAGTTTGTGACCATGGGTTTCACGCTTTAGCGATCGTGAGACAAACTGATTAATAATAAACTGATAATATGTAAATAATTATACATATATATATATTAATTTATATTTATGTACACACACTTCTCCCCCCCCATATATATATATATATATATATATATATATATATATATATATATATATATATATATATGCTGAAAAGTTCGGCTAGGAGCAGAAAGGATTCTATATCATATACTTTTTTACATTTGCTCCTTTCCTCAGACTTTTAGACGGTTCATATATACTAGAACTTTGCTGTCCATCACTCGTACATAAAAAATATAAATATATACCCAGCCACCGAGAAGTAATTTCATTATTTTAGGGGTATATTCACTTTTACTTCATATCTCAATACTTTTTGTCCCTAAAAATAAGAACTCGTTCACTCTTCATTTTGGCACCCCTCAAAAAGAGTCCCTGAATGCAAAGGCTAAATGAATTTACGACCCAGAACTGTGAACATATCTATGTTTATTAAACGGTTAACCATTGTTAATACCTTGTGTTGAGGTGTCCTCCCTCTATGTTGGATTCTGACGCCTACTATAAAATTAGTAGAAGAGAAGGTCTTGGGGAACAGTCGCATAGATTTAGCCTTGTGCTACATACGCCCTCGTGGGGCGGGGGCTGTTAAATATTAACAGTCGCATAGATTGTTCAACTGTCAAACTCTCTGCCTCAGCAGAGAGGAACTCGGACGAAGCTTTGCCACAGGGCAAAGTTTCGTCCGGGAGGTAGACAGTCCCTTCACCCGTTTAGGCGGGTTCAAAGGGAATATGTTTGGCCGAGCCTATGGGCTCGGAGAACCCACAGTAAACTCGGCTTTGTGCCACATACATCCCTTGTAGTGGGGGGCTGTTAAATATTAATTGTCGAATAGATTGAACACTGGGTCAACCGACACACACTCATTAGTCGAGTAATACTCTTCTGTTGTACTTACTGTTTAATATATGATGTATTTGCAACACTTGTTCTGTTATTTCTTTAACCATTTACTTGGCCACAGCACCTTGAATGGCATTATTATCTTGGATAAGTTCTATAAATATAATGGAAGAGTGAACAATATAGAAACAGCTGTAGACATGCGAACAAATAGATAGTTTATTATTTCTAATTGGATAAAACTTTAGCTAAATTGTTGACGCCATAGTCCATCAGCACAAGTTAGCCATCCCAACAGATTAAACAAGAAAAACACGAATATTTTTATTATTTGTAACTAATATCCTCATGCTGTTGTTATGATCAAAACGGACTCTTTCACTCTTTAGGAAACTTTGAACAGAACTCTATTCAATTTAATGGTATAAATTGTTCTCATTCTTGGATCCATATCTAGATATATGTCGCCTTCATTAACTGCTCCTTTATGGCTAGACCTGACTGCGCTCACCTTACTATTTGAATCAAGGATGGAACTCAAAATCAAATGTAGTAACGAATACTTAAGTTTTCTAAAATCCCCTTTGTGATATTTCTAAAATATATAAATCTTTTTCTTGTTTTTTATCTTGCCAATTTTTTCAATTATTTTTTGATCGCTTTGTAATGTCTGTTCAACTTTTCATTTTTTTTCTAAGTTGCATTCAATGCAGGAGGCACGGTGGAGTAGTGGATAGCGGCTCAGACTAAAGAATCCGTAGAGGCGAGTTCGCATTCCATTCGAATTCATTACATTTACTTACGTGCTAATATCCTTGGAAAAGGCATGAATCCATATCTTCTACCCTCAGCTATGGGTAAATAGCAGAACAAAATCAGCTGAGGAGAAAACTCCAAATTAAAAATCAGCATAGGGAGGGTTTGCTTCGTCATATTATCTTGCCCAGGACACACAACTGCTACTGCGGCTGCAATACTCGTTGTGCGCTTCGTAATTGTAATTCTTAACAATAGATAATGTTACATTATTTTGTAGATGTCGAGACTGGTTGGCCATTAGTGAGTGGCTCATACAAAACTCGATAATAAATCCCCACCTACTCAACCTAGAAATTCAATCAAACGATGGAAGAAAATATTCTTATTCTAAATTAAGAAAACCATATTTTTGGCTGCTTATCATTAATCTCAGACTCTATTAATAAACAAAAGAACCCCCGAGTGATGTTTCGCGAAAATTTCGCCATTTACTGCGTAGTTTAACATAACATTCAGTTTCGTTTGTATCCAGAGGCGATCAAATTCATAATGCTGTTCTTTTATTGAAAACATTGATAAAACTATAAAACAACCTGCTTATTCATTGTTTACTTTATCGCTCGTGTTTATTATGCGAAACTTACGACGAATTTCTATTAGAAAGACAATAGAAAGCAACAGATAAACAACATTTTCTTTTAATAATGATAGCTTTGTTTCAACATGATTCAGGCTGAGCTTCCATGAAACAGTGAATCTATAACGTTCAGACGAGCTCAAATATGTTGCTACCAGAAAAGCAGGCAGTTTATCAAGCACGTCTCAAGTTTATCATTTAAAAAACTTTCAGATTCAATATTTTTATCAACAGAATTTTTGATACCATGACACACGGCTAAACGCTAATACCTCCAAAATGAAACTGCTCTCCTTTATCCACCACAGAGAACCCTCCCTGCTTCCCATCAGAATGGCTGGTGCCCAACTCCCTGAGATTGCCTCTCTGCGCCTCTCTGCGCTTGCTTGGTCTCATGCTGTCCGCGGACCTGAGGTGGAACAAATACATTGAATCTATAGCTTCATCTACCGCAAGGAATGTTGGTTCTTTATATCGTGCCAGAAAGTTTTTTCCCGCCTGAGTCCATCCTTCAAATCTATAAAACAACCATTCGTTCTTTGAATTGAATACTGCTGCCATATATGGTCTGGGCATCCCCGCTGTTCGTCTCGAGGTCCCCGACAAAATCCTGAGACGGAAATGAAATGTGATGGGTCCTGAGCTGACATCTTGTCTACAGTCACTTTCTCACAGACGTGCCGTTACTTCCATCTGTCTTTTCTACAAGTATTTTCACTGCCTCAGCTCTGACGAGCTACTTTCGCTAGTTCCCAAACTGCATGAATTCAAGCGTGCTACTAGGTTGGCATCTTGGTGCCACCCTTTCGCTGTCGAAACGATTACATGTAGCCGACTCTTTTACTCCAACAGCTTCTTATCCCGCACTTTCCGTCTGTGGAACTCACTTCCTCTTACTTGCTTCCCTTATAGCTATAATCTTCAAATATTCAAATGTAATGTCAATCGACATCCTCTAATGCCTTGAACTACTTCCCCATCCCTCTCTTTAGCCTTTCCTCAAACACACCTCTTTACTCTTGCTCTCACTCCTTGTAACCCCTTGCCTGCTACTGGTACTCCCGCCTTGCTTGCGGTGAAATACTACCCCCCCCCAAAAAAAAACATCAGGAAGTCGCTGATCATGGCCACAACTTCCTTTTAGATAATATCTTTGATTCGTTATAACTATTCTTGGAAAAAGTAGTCGAATGTTATCCCGTTTCCTCTTCCATATTTTGAATTCAGAATTGTCCTCCAAGACTGGTTGCCTACCAAGGATTAAGGTCTTAGTTTGCCTTACAATTTTACCTATAGCTTGGTAGAATAATATATTTTTAGAAAAATCATAGAATTATAAGAAACAAAAATCTCCTCTGTATCACAAATGTAAAGAAGAGTTCCACCCAGACATTTTTCCCAAGAACTGCAACTTTGTGGCACTGGCTCCCAGGTGGATGCTTCCAAGAACAGTAGGATCTTAACCTCTTCATATCAAGGGTCATTATATATATATATATATATATATATATACTCTTTATAATCTTTACTTCCTACCACTTCATCTTTTATTCATAGCACACCCCATTCATCATATGCATTTTACATATTTTCTTCTGTTTATCAATCCTTTTCAGGTTATTTAAAGCCAGAAAATATTTTTAGATTGTAAGAATTTTTGGAGATAATAATGATTTAGTGATACAAGTCTTACTAATTAACCCATAGCAGGGAGAAACGTGGTTTTATACAATTCCCAAGAGTACTTGTGCGTAAGTGAATATAACGAACCCAAGTGGGATCGAAACTCGGCTCTCCGAATAACAATTCCAGCCATTATCCACCCGCACATCTAAGCTTACAGTACCTGATATTCTCAAGCAATCACCTATCTAGGTATTGATCCGGCTCGACGTTGCTTAACTTCGGTGATCGTACGGGTAGCGGTATTTCAGCATGATGTAGCCGTAAGCCCTTTATTTTAACAGCAATGCTCTATGGCAGCGGGTGAAGTTTAGTTTTAAAGAAATAATATCATAAGTAATAAAATAACTTCTTAGCTACCTTTTATATATTTACAAAGCTGACAAAATGTCACAAGTTTCTTAGCCAGCAGTGAAAATCGATCCCTCTACTTTGAGAACGATTTATGGAATGATTTTGGTAGCCACTTCACCAAGGCAAGACAAGACAAGACAGACGAGCTGATCATTCATATATATATATATATATATATATATATATATATATATATATATATATATATATATATATATATATATCGACTTGGTCTCGACATTGTAAATTCAAGTAACCATAAAAATTATTGTATACACTAACTCCATGTCAGTAATCACAGAACTAAAAATCAAAAACAAATATCAAATCCACTCATTATTAAACAACAGGACCAATAGATTAAATAGAGATATTGTCTTCAAACTAAGCCATCATGGTATCACAGAGAATAATAGAGCAGATTCCTCAACAAGAAAAGCTTCTATAAAATGCACATCAAACTCCTTAAATACCAAAATCCCACATACAGTTCTGAAACCAAATCTCAAGAAATAATTTAGGGAGGAGTGGTAGAATCTATGGAACTCCTGGCATAATGATAAACTGTAGAAAATTAAACCAGCTATAGGAAAATGACATCAGAAACACTAAACTAGAAGACAAGTATTGATTATGTTCAGGCTTTATATTAGACATATTGTCATAACCGATTCGTATATCCTAAAAAAGGAAGATCCTCCGCTATGTGTGGCATGCCAAGTGCCATTCACCATAAAACACACACTGACAATTGGAAACAATTTTAATTCAAACCGATAAAAATACTTCCAAACAACAAACTTAAACGTACTTTTTTCAAAATACTGACTCACATATGCCTGTTTCTAAGATAAATTAAACTGATTTAAATAAAAAAATATTACCATAACTAACAGTCATAATATTTAAAATAAAATATTTTGACTGTTTAAATACAAGATTTTGTTTAAAAAAAAAACAAAAAAAAAACACGTTAACTTTTGGCGTTAAATGATCCAATGTGTTGATAGGCTGTAAAACAAACCAACCAAAAACAAAAAAAGCAAAAAAAAAAAAAAAAAACAAACAAACATAAAATGTTATTTTCAAATATATATTTTTATATTGTTTTATTTCTAGCTGCATGCGCAATAGAAATTATTATTAGCATCAACCCGAAATAAGAAAACACAAACAGCGTAAAGTTTCGAAAACAATTGTTTTTTTTTAGTTTTTTTTTTAATTGACATTTCTGAATGTTTTCCCAAGTTTTTATTCAGTTCACTTTGGCTTTTAATCAGAATTGTTTGACCTTTTATCAATGCCGGGTCACTCAGTTTAGAATTAATACCCCTTGGCTAAAACAATATCATCTATATAAAATGGCGAGCTCTTTAAAACGAACTTTCTTGATGTATGCTTCGCTGATTTCCTTTTAACGAGTTCAATTATCTTTTCCTTAGAACTTGAACCAGTTTATTCACAGTTTTAAAGATTTAATCTCACTTAATGTTGGTTCCATAGTCCAGCTAATCTTATGCCAGGCTTTTGATTTAATATCAACCCACTTTACGCGCCCCAGTCAAATCTGACCTCTTTAATCTCGACTCATTTCTTCATTTCAATTTAAGCACGACACAATAGCTGTTCACGTAAACTGTTATCACCGATTAATCCCCGTTCAAAATGATCCTGATATATCAAGCTCAGTTCAAACAAACCCTGCTCAAATAATCACAGTTAAATTAATCAAATAACACTTTTAAAAATACAGTACATTATACAAACACTATTCTTTTTATATCTTTCCTCCTTTTTCTTTTTTAAAATTAAAATTTTTTTCCTGCTCAAGTTGGAAATGTTTAGGCGGATTCAACTTGTTTATAACTTTGTCCTTGGTCAGTTCACTTGTTGTTTTTGCCATGAACTATGGCGATAAGCGATTTCACCACTTGACATTTCCTGGTGATGTTATAGGGTTATCATTTTTATTCTTTTATAATGTTAAAGGGCTCGGTTCAAGGTATACTCACTCACTTTCGTTTACACTAGGAAGAGAAAAAAAAAGAGATTTTGTTGCACGAATTAACGTGCTTAAAGGCGTAAGGTTAAGTATCGATATTTCTGTTGCTTTCGCTTTTTTTCACATCCAGTTGAACGTCGGAGGGTCTGACTTTTATGCGACGTTACGTGGCATATCACATGCATAAAACTGTATGGTCTATCTATCTATATATATCCATTCCTTCCTTCCCCTTTTCCTAACTTCCTTAATTATCTATCAATCTAACTAGGTTCCTTCCCATCTATCTATCGTTACATTCTTTCCTATTTTCCCACTTCTTTCCATATATATATATATATATATATATATATATATATATATATATATACGGATGACGGTATATATACATATATATATACCGTCATCCACAGACAGACTGTTTCGCTGCTCATCAGTGTGGCTAGACAGCTAGGGTCGAAACCCGACTGAACTGGTGTCAGTCGGAGATTCTAACCATTAAGCCATCGGCGCACGGTAGGGAGGAAAGTGGATTTTTAGCGTGTTTATCTTTATAAACACGCCCAGTGACCGGGAGTGACTCAATTCGCATTAGCGAAGAGTATCGCTATATAGCTATAATAATCACTGTTTACCAACCCACATCTCCTTCCCAGAGAGCTCAACTGAAATTAATTTTTCAGGAGCCAATATACCGTCATCCACAAACAGACTGTTTCGCTGTTTCACAGCTCATCAGTGTGGCTAGGCATCCGGTTGCCTCCATCTAGGGTCGAAACCCGACTGAACTGGTAATATATATATATATTTACGTATGTATGTACGTATGAACAGACCGAAATATATAGGATTTTGGTCTATTCACATCTATCTATGTATCTATCTATCTATCTATCTATCTATCTATGTTCTTATCTAACTTATCTTTGTATTTGCTCTTTTACTGATATCGTCACGAAAAGTTAATGTCATGTCGATTAAGATTTAACATAGATAAAGGAATTAAAAACATCTTGCACAAGTTTCAGCACGTCAACATACTCTCGTCTCTTACATGACGTTATTTCCTCTTTTACATATCTTAACACTGAACCCACCAACCAAACATTCTTAATCCGTACCTACCATTGACCAGATGCGTTATGTGGAAACCATTTTGTTTTATTTCTCAGATACAGCGAATTGTTTTTAACGATTATATTCGGCTGTCAGCACAAAACAAAACAAAACTTATTTTTAAATAAAAAGTGTTTTTTTTTTTCTCGGTGGTCTTTAATTTGTTCTCTTTAGTGACTTGTACCTTATAACTTATCTAGACGTAAGACAATAAAAAATTGTTTTATCACTTAAATATGGAATGGCTTATAGCGACCATTCTGGTTCTTTTTGTAGCTAATGTTTATATGGCGTTCAGAATCATGAGTTTCGTACGCCATTATGGTCGCAAGGACACGACATATACTTGAGTAGTAGCAACAGATTTTGTGTTTCTCTAGCATGACCGCCTTCTTCTTCTTCTTCTTCTTCTTCTTCTTCTTCTTCTTCTTCTTCTTCTGTGTGGGCTCTGTCTCCTCAAGACGTAGTTGATCATAGCTCTCCACAACTTCCTACCCCTTGAAGCTCTTAATAAACTTTTTCATTTTTGTTATTATTCTAAATCCTGTTACTCCATCCATTTACTCAAGCTCACTAAGTAAGTTATGCGCTGTTTTCCATGGTACCTCTTGCTCTCTATCTGTTTCGGGAGTATCAGATTTTCGAAACCCTCTTTCCTCATTATATGCCCCAGAAACCTCAACTGCCTATTCCTGATGTTAAAAATTAGTTTCATTTTTCGTTTACATTTATCTCCAAAGCTTCGTCGTTACTCACATGTTCGATCCACAATATTCTCGGCATCCTTCTGTAGAACCCCATTTCTGTCTCTTCTTCATCTTTGAGGAGGTATTCCAGACGGAGCGCCTTTTTCTTCTGGTTTTGGTTTTGAGTTTTTACTTTCAGGTTGGTTTTGAATTCCTTCTAGATTGTTTTCCCTACCAAGGCCCTATTATTCATTGTTTTCTTTCCCTTTTAAACGGGTTGCCACCCAAGTCAAATATGGACCAAGACGACTCATCACTGCCGAATCAACACCAGCCAACTCATCTCTGTGACAACTCAAATCCAAGACAATTCACTACCAGCCTAATCAGCGCGAAGACAACTCAACGACATCCAAACTATGAATCTCTTGTTTAAATGGTTAAAAAAGGTTTGCAGATATATCATATATTAAAAAGTAAGTACACAAGAAGAGTATTAAATGACTACTGAGAGTGTATCGAATGAACTAGCGCTCAATCTATTCACTGTTATATTTAACGGGCCCCCACGTGTGTCGTATGTGGCACAAGGCCGGATAATCGTGGGTCCTCCAAACCCGTAGGCCTCGTCCGGGTTCCTCTATGCTCGAGGCAGAGAGTTCGACAGTTGAACAATCTATTCACTGTTATATTTTATTTATTCATACCTTTTCTATGGACGGATATATGAACCATTTTCACCATAGCATATCTTTCATATTACCATAGATAAAAACACAAATCAAACACCCCTGCCGCACAAAATTAAACGTATTTATGCAGTTTATGGAGAAGGTACTGTGAATGGTCAAAAGTGTCAAAGATGGTTTCGAAAGCTTCGTACTGACGATAAACCTTCCACCAAGATCAGATGGGACAGCGGATAGTGATCAAGGCATTATTCCTAGGTTCCACTAGTTCAGACCTTCACAGATAGGACACGGCATGCCATCTGCACTCGGTCGACATCCTTATTCCTTTCATATCTCATTGGTAAAGAGTAAGTTCTACCCAGAATTCTTACCCAGAAGTGTTTCAATGTGGAACGGACTTCAGACGAAATGCTTTCC